GCACTTGTTACTACTAGTAAGGCACTTGTTACTACTAGTAAGGCACTCGTTACAGGGTTACACATTGGCCCTACTAACACGTTGGCCCTGAAGTGCGAAAAAATGCGAAAAGGTCATGATGTCGTGAGGCCCTGAGGTATTGGCGTGTTGATGTGCTTGCATGGCACTTTGGAAAGCAGCAGTAGCTAACAAGCACACTGCCAAAATTTGCCAATACTCAATGAGCGAGACTTAGTTGTTGGGGATTTTCTTGAGCTTCTTTGGCTATCTGTGTCATGTCTTACTTTTCTTTAGATCTTGGTAGTTGGAGGCCACCGCTAGTAGGTTGGAGGCCATTGCTATTATGATCGGTTGGAGGCCATTGCTTTTATGTTGGAGGCCATTGCTATACTAGATTGGAGGCCATTGCTATAATGGTTTGGAGGCCATTGCTATAATAGGTTCAAGGCCATTGCTATTAGGTTGGAGGCCATTGCTATAATCGGGCGGAGGCGATTGCTATACTAGATTGGTTGCCTCTTTAGACCTTGGTAGTCCTATTCAGTTCTGATGCAAAGCCAGCTTGGACTTGAGCTCTAAGGCTGCGGCGGTCCCGGGCTTCCAAGCGAGCGGAGCCCACATATGCACGGCCTGTCCAAATTCGTCGTGCAATGCAAAATTAAAACGACATATGTCAAAAAGGAACAAAAATGAAAACACGAATCGTATATGATAATACAAGAACACAAAAAATTCAACTACTATAGTTACTAGCAGCAATGCCCTTGTTACTAGTAGCGATGCCTTTGTTACTAGCAGCATGCTTTCTAGCTATGGGCCACGACATCAAGAAAAGCTAAGAAACGGGGAGCACCAAAGGCCTGGGGCGTACAATGAAAAGTAGTTAAGCACATTTAAGACATTCTTGAAAAAGGAACGAAAGAAAGGTCTGAAGGTCACTGAAGGCCTAACATGTGAAACAAGAATTCCCCCCAAAAAAGACAGTCGCAGGACTCCTTCTGGCACCACCGGTCACTGGCCATTGCTGGCCTGTTGGCTGCGGATTTGAATGACCTCTATCTTGTGGCCTGAAGGCACGGAAATTCTTTCGTGTGGAGCAAAGAAGCTAGTAGAAACAAGTGCATCGATACTAGTAACAAGTGCCTTACTAGTAGTAACAAGAAGCTACTAGGGGCTCCTGGCATCGCTACTAGTAACAAGTGCCTTACTAGTAGTAACAAGGTTCGCTACTAGGAACAAGTGCAACGCTACTAGTAACAAGTGCCTTACTAGTAGTAACAAGAAGCTACTAG